TGCCTCATGTAAAGTACAAAATGTAGAAGATATGAAAAATGTACAGGAAAGGATCATCAAGAGAAATTCTGTCTCATGAATATACAAAATGTTCCAGAGATCACTGTCTTCTAGAAAGTACAAAATGTAGAAGATATGAAAAATGTACAAGAAAGATCATCACATGAGAAATTCTGTCTCATGAATATACAAAATGTTCCAGAGATCAATGTCTTCTAGAAAGTACAAAATGTAGAAGATATGAAAAATGTACAGGAAGGTTCATCATGAGGACTTCTGTCTCATGAATATACAAAATATTCATGAGATCACTGTCTCCTAGAAAGTACAAAATATAGCAAATTGTCTCATTAAATGGAGTTCATCAGTTGTACATGAAAATTACATGAAAAATTTTGTCTCATGAATATTCAAAATGTTCATGAAAATCACTGCCTCATGTAAAGTACAAAATGTAGAAGATATGAAAAATGTACAGGAAAGGATCATCATGAGAAATTCTGTCTCATGAATATACAAAATGTTCCAGAGATCACTGTCTCCTAGAAAGTACAAAATGTAGAAGATATGAAAAATGTACAAGAAAGATCATCACATGAGAAATTCTGTCTCATGAATATACAAAATGTTCCAGAGATCACTGTCTTCTAGAAAGTACAAAATGTAGAAGATATGAAAAATGTACAGGAAGGTTCATCATGAGGACTTCTGTTTCATGAATATACAAAATGTTCATGAGATTACTGTCTCCTAGAAAGTACAAAATGTAGCAAATTGTCTCATTAAATGGAGTTCATCAGTTGTACATGAAAATTACATGAAAGATTTTTTAATGAATATTCAAAATGTTCATGAAAATCACTGCCTCATGAAAAGTACAAAATGTAGAAGATATAAAAAATGTACAGGAAAGGATCATCATGAGAAATTCTGTCTCATGAATATACAAAATGTTCATGAGATCACTGTCTCCTAGAAAGAACAAAATGTAGAAGATTGACTCATTAAATAGAGTTCATCAGTTGTACATGAAAATTGTATGCAAAAAAAATTCAAGAGGAATAAGCATATTTACTCTCTTGATTTCTCCTTTAGGCATCTGATGTAAAGTCGAACGGGGTTCCATTCATATGGCGCCATTTTCCCGCTGAGAACTTTAGCTTCGTCCCCTGTTGATACAGACGACTTACTTCTTGAGCATGCCTTCGTTTTTCTGTGAGATCATCTTTAGTGAGGTCATCGACCATGAAGTAGTTTTCGTTGGCCAGAGATGCTCGTGTGGACTTCATAACGGTTACTTTGTCGCGAAATGATAAGAACTTAAAAAGGATGTGTCGTGGACGATCAGCATCGGGCTTACCATCTCGGTGGGCTCTCTCGATCCTGGGGGTTATTCCAAATTTATCACTCAAGACATTCTGAACAATCTGGATGCAATCTTCCACTGTATTTTCCGGTTTTCCAACAAGGCGCACGTTGTTTCGGCGAGAGAAGCGTTCGGCTTTGTTAATCCCAGCTTTCTGCTCAGCCGATTCTCGGAGAAGCGAAGTCATCTGCGTGTCGAGTGTGGAGATCTTCTTCTCAAGTGCAGCGTTCTTTTCCTGGAGTTCGTTCACTCTTTGGGACTCGAATTCGATAGCCGCCCCCAAGTTTCGCTCGACCCTCTTTACGTTTTCGACTAGAGAGTCAACAGCTTTTGTAATCATTGTTTCAAATTTTTCAGTCATTTTGATAAAGTATCGATCTATGTATGCAATGCGTACAGGGCTGGGGTCAGAGGATAACGAGCGGCTTGCAGAATCCGACATAGCGCCAGCAGCTGCGGCGGGCAAGCTTCGCGGTGGTGATGTCACGTGACCCACGTCAAGCCCATCGGTTGACGTGGCAGGAGAGGAGTAAAAATCGTCTAAACTTACATCTTCTTCCTGCATTTCCTGGTGTCCTTTAGCCCTCCTTGCGAGTCTTGTCCTTTGAGAGTTCATCGTCGGTCGATTTCAAGTTATATAGTCCGTGTACAGCGCATATAGCGAGGAAAGTTCGAAAAAATACGGAGAGGCAAGAAACCTACGTCCTACTCGTATGCATGTCTTTTCTGAAGAAATTGATTGCACTGTCGTGCAGATAGTTATTCAAAATGATGATACCGGTAAGCAAAAAATATGGGCTTTTGATGAAAAATGGTGCAGTTAATCAAAGATGAAACAAATAAGAAGTTATACATAATTAATGAGTCACTTATCCATGTGATGCCCTTATACTATAGACCTGTATGTATTTTATATATATTTTACTAGCTGGTAAAATCCATGTTCAGACTTTAGGAATGTGACAGGGGTCAATCCCTTGACCCCAATGGACATGACATGTGTCATACAGAGTACATGAGCAAGTAGATATGCATGCCTCTATTGCAAGGCAATAATCAAGTCAGAGTCACAATTAAGGGGGCACCTCAAAAATGCTAACAAAACACTGGTATGAAAATTTGAATTCAACTGCATGGTTTTTCCATCATTTCCAAACAAAAAATGAGTGCTAAAGGAACACTAACATGGAATTAAATTAAAAGAAATTAGTGATGGAATTTGAAATTACATATAAGTTAATCCTTATTGATGTTGTTCAAACACCTATCAGGTGTCACATTTATACTATTATAGATAGTATACCAAGGTAATGTTATTAACACCCTAGTGTATATATATTTTTTGCAAAAAAAGTAGAAAATCATACATGACAAAATGTTTTCTCCTAGCTGGCACCAGTCGAAACGGTATAAACAACAAAGATTACAAGAAAAGACAGAATCGTTTCTAGGAAAATGTTTCATGATGTCAGTGTTAACTATATTTTGCACTGTATATCCAATTACAAAGCATGGATAACAAATGATGTATAAATCTTTTTGGTGTTAACAAAGTACGTGCCTGGTAACAATCAATAATATATAATACACTATTTAGGTGGATCTTTTATTGTTATGATTATTCAGTTATCTGCGTGAAAAGTCAAAGAGATTATTGTGACTATAACAACCGTTATTCTTGTCACCCCAAACTCAGCACCAATGTCAATACCAATATATCATATTAAATCTGTCTTCAATTGCATACAGAGATTATGTTACTTCCCTTTTAATCTTTACATTGGATACAATTAACTTACATGTATACATGTCATTGATGAAAGATTTGTTAGATCGAGAGAGCCAAGGGCAGATCTAGCTTTTTGCTAAGAGGGGGGGAGGGGGGGGGGGTGGCCCAATGACGATGCGGAGGCGATTTTTATTTTTTAATTTTTTTTTTCTTTCTTTTTTCTATCTTTTTTGAACCCCTGTATTTAAGTGATGTTTTCCTGGCATATACTAACACGATGGAGACCATAAAAATTAGTGCACGATAACGTCTTTTTAAATCAAGTAATAGTTTAATACACAGTTATATCCAGAGTTATCATGTGTTTGGTTGAGATACCAGACGAGTTGAATATCTTCTCACAATATATGCACTTTTCTCTCCAGTGTGCGTTCTTTCTTTGTGGTCTAACTCTTGGTCGGACCTCTCCTGGGGGGAAATCAATCTTTTTGCTAAAGGAGGGGGGGGGGGGGGTTGACGCAATGACAATGCGGGGAGGGGGTGGGGGGGTTGACGCAATGACAATGCGGGGAGGGGGGGTGACGCAATGACAAATGCAGAGCATTGTCCACGAGCCACATAGCAGTGAGGCAATTTTTGTTGTTGCTATTTTGAACCCCTGTAAGTGATGTTTTCCATGGGGTTTGACCCAATGATGATGCAGATACTGTGTGGGTCTGGACACATGATGGCGTTTTTCTATGCACATCACATTTTCTTTTGACAGCCCAAAGGGGGGGGGGGGGTTAAAACCCCTAACTGTAACTAATCGTCACTTAAAGTAGATCCATCCTGATATTAAGTTGGTTTTAGTAAAAGCAGAAAATGAGAGGAACAGGTCAGTGAAAATTTGAGCGAATTCTGGTTAAAATAAGAAAGTTATGAATGTTTGAAATAGCGGTCAATCAAACATAAATTGGCAACAATATGACAAATCTTGTGAGCCCCCATCTAATATGCTCTTTACATAGAATTTAATAAACATTCATTTTCTTTGTTATTGATGACGGAATATATATTTTTTCCATCCATATTTGAAATAAATTTGCAATAATTATATTATGGGTGCATGTATGATTGAAATTTTTCTTGAGGGAAAATAAAAATATCTCAATTTTTAGTACAGAGCAAATAGGAGAGGAGCTCCCAAAATACATCAGTGTTGCAAATATGTTTTCCACTGATGACAACATAACAATTTTCAAAACTTTCGTATCTTTCATCGGATATTGCTCAAACTTTCACTAATTTTATTTCTCATAGTTTTCTGATTTTATAAAAACCAACTTAATATCAGGTTGGACTTCCCCTTTAAGTACGTTCTGATCTTCCTTGGTTTCTGCGGTTATTTTTTAACACTGTTTAATTTCATTTCATTCCATTACCATCTCTTCCCTTTTCTAATGCAAATTTTACTTTTCTTTAATTCCTTTAAATGTTTCATATATATTCTGGTTCTTTTGACAGAAGAATATATCAATAAACATTTAAAGGAATTAAAGAAAAGTAAAATGTACATTATAAAAGGGAAGAGATGGTAATGGAATTAAATTAAATTAAACACTCACACATACATCACGATTGTGGATAAACCGCTCACCTTTGATTCTTTTCCTTTCCTTGCGAGTGTTTCATAAAAACAAGGATGGTATTCACTTTCTAGAGAAACTTCCTTCAAGGATGGCATGGAGCATATTATCTCTACCACATCAAGTGACATAGTAGGTCCACAATCTCTCTCAATACAGAGTGTAACCTGGATAAAATGACAAAGTGATTACTGATGGGATGCAGAGTATAAATTTTCACTTGGATGTTAGGCATATGTGTGTATAACTTACATGAGCATTTTCCATAGATATGCTGCTAGAACTACAGAGCATAAGAAAGAAAAGGAAATAAATAAGGGTACAGGCTGAAGAACTATTGCCATGACATTTCATCCTATTTTTGTGACAGTACTGAATAGGAATATCATCTTAGTTTACCATGTACTAAACAGAGAATCCTTAAACTAAATAAAAGGAGAGTATAAGTCTAAAAAGTATTGTTTCAAAGGAGATTATTTAAGTTCACACCATCTGGTGCCTCGATCATACCTTAATCATTTATAAATGTAAGTAGGAATACGATCACTAAATTAAAAGGGTGAATACGGAGCAAAAATCTAGTCTCCAGAGTTGCAATATCAATACACTGAGGTAACCCAAATTATACACAGGGCCAATAATAATATCAAACAGATTTCTTTGTGCCCCGTTAAACATTTAGAAACCAAGAATTGGGACTTCATTCGGGCATGAGATACTTTTTTTGAAGGGATGACAGTGTGCAAACTGTCGATGAAGTTCCCTTTCCAAAATGTTTAGCTCATCTCAAAAGTATAGATGCACTGTGTATATATTATATGCACATGCAAGTACATACATGTAGCTTCACTGTAATTGTAAATTGCATGTTCTGAATCCTTTTTTTCAAATTCCTCTCCCACTGGCACCAGATTCATTTTGCACGCAGTTCTTGTTATTCCTAATTAGGTCCCTTTCTCTCTCCAAATTCCTTTCAGATTTCATATGCATATTCTTTACCATTCCATTGTATGCACTGAACTGACCGTCCAGGCTCCATTTCGACAGTTCCGTTTCCATGCCTAATTTCTTTCAACCTACCTATCTCCACTATCCTAGATGCTACAGACTTTTAACCAATTACTCTAGATAGTGTACAAGTTGCTCTTCATCTTCTACTGATACAAATGGCCCTCCAAAATGCCATCTTCATACTTAAAATTTAATTCCAAAATCATTGACCCTTTCAAGAATCGCTAAAAAATTCGTTAAATATTGACAGATGAAAAGAAAAATACCATAACCTAGTCATATCAAGTCCTAAATGAAATTTCTACAGCATCTGCTCAGTGAATTTCACGATATCGATGGTCATGTTTGATATGAAAGTTCTGAAAATGGATGTGTTTATCTTGCTATAGCTCCATCATGCCTGCATGGCTTAATCAAAACCCTCCATTATATTTAAATACTTCAAGATATACCCTTTTCAACCCCCTACAAAATGCAACTACAACTGACCTACATTACGATAAATTGCTCTCGAAAACAAGACTTTTCAGGAAAATTCCTAAACAACTTCAACATGTGCTCAATTTGCAAACTGTATACTATAGATCTATGAAATTTGGCAGACATGTGTATCAACCTACTTGACAACTACATGTATCTGAAAAGTTTGGTAAAATTGCATGATGTCGATCATCACAAGGTTATTGTAAAAAATACTGAATGTGCTATGCATCACATTACAATGGGTGACATGCTTGTACTACATTATCATAGATGACCAAAATGACCGCAAAGAAGTGCCCGGCCTTCACTCAAATTTTTTTGAGTGAATCGAAATTGAAAGTAGGTCACAATTCGGATTACGCAGGTTTTCTGCCCAACTGTTTCAGTTTAATACCCATGACATCAATTTTCAGAGTGATTTTCGCCCCTTTTCAATATTTTTTTATCTTGAAATTTCACAACTTTATTCTGGGTGGCCAAACTCAGGGCATCTCATAGCCTGATTTTGGAACCTGCTAAGTGGGACGTTTTAAATGCCATTTTATATCCTGCATTTCAACGTATTGCACTATATACGTCACATACATGTACTAGCATGTTAGCATGCAAGGCCATATAAGCCACAGTATATGGAAAACCATTACATGTGTAATAATACGTTGTGTACATAGGGTCATCTAATTGCTTTTCTGGTATTTATCTGCTCAAAGAAATAGAAATGAGGATATCAATGCATGCATATTGTTACACGATAATAGTTCTAGTTTTCAAATTATTGCTGTTCAAACCTCTTTGATTTGATTTATTTACCAACAACAATATTGTAGATCACTGCATGTTTATCACTGCATGTCATGCAGTGAGCGCGGAATTTTTGGCGTTTCATCACAATATAGAGAAAGGAAGACGTTTCGTCATACCGTTTTCGACTCTTATTACTCCCTATTCATCTGAATTCAGTTTCCCCCTCTCGCGCGAAGCTTTGATGTTTCATTAAATTATTAGAGAAAGAAGACGATTCGTTGTACCGTTTTCGACTCTTAATAAGCCCTATTTGGTGTACTGTTTACGACTTTTAATCCTTATCTGAATTCAGTTGTCCCCCTTCCGCGCGAAGCGCGGAGGGTTTGGCGTTTCATTAAATTATTAGAGAAAGTAGACGATTCGTTGAACCGTGCTCGACTCTTAATCCTTGTCTGAATAAAGCTTCCCCCTCCCGCACGATCTCGGAAATTTTGACGTTTCATTAAACTATTAGAGAAAGAAGATGATTCGTTGTACCGTTTTTGACTCTTAATAAGCCCTAATTGTTTGAATTCAGTTTTCCCCTTCCGTGCGAAGCGGATTTTTGGGGGGCATTTCATCACAATATAGAGAAAGGAAGACGATTCGTCGTACCGTTGTTGACTCTTATACCTTGTTTGAATTTAGTTTCCCCGAAAATGATAAACCTCTGATTTCTTTAGCTGATATCATAGGAAAGTGAAACTTTGAGAAAATACAAGTATTGTAGTTGTAGTCACTCTTGTGTCGTCACAGCGGATAAAAAAAACTTGTCGGCCGACCGACAATATACATCTCACCGACTTCAAACTTCTGCATTGATATAGTACACGAGGATCACACGAGACACAAGAATACCGACACAGATAACCCGACATAGCAACATATTTACCCGTGTCTTTCTTGCTCCCTCGACGAGACGACTCCACCCAACAACCCCCTTCTTTCTTTTACTCCCACCCCTCCTCTCTCAGGCTCTTACCTCTCCTCTCTCTCCTCTCTTTCACCCCTGTGTCTTTTGTTTCCCTTTTACTCTTTTTTTCTCTTTTTTTCTCCCCTTTTCTTACTTTCCCTTTCTTTCCTCTCCTCCCTCTTTTTCTTTTTTCACCTTCTTTCTTCTATTTTCTTTCCTTTCTTTCCTTTCTTTCCTTTCTTTTCCTTTCTTTCCTTTCTTTTCCTTTCTTTCTTTCCTTTCCTTTTCTTTTTTCTTTTTTTCCCTCCCCCTTTTCTCTTTTTTCCCAATGGCAGCGCAATTTTACCGACAATATCCTGACAGGTGGAGGGGTGTCGCACCCCCACACCCCCCCTTTGTGACGCCCCTGGGTATAAGGGACCAGAGAATAGTACATGTGCTACTCGAGATGTACCCTTCCATAATTAGACTGTTGTACTGTAAGAAAACTGCAATAGATATAAAAGTAAGGACTTGTACAAAAATGGATGACTTTTTTTGTTTTTCAAACTGTGATTAAACTTACCAAATGTGGTCTAATGAAAGCACAACCAGCTACAGTGTGTGCTGTCATGTCTCTGGATACATTCAGTGTAATTTCCTTTGATGAAACCCTGTCCTTCACCAAGGCTGCTGCATCTGGGTCCTGACTCTCAAAGGCTACATCAACAATGAAAGATAACTCTAAACCTGTGAAATGTTGATTCCCAAAGGCTGTACCAACATGTAACTCTCTATCTACATCTATGTCTAGTCCCTGAAGCATAGAGTTCAGAACATGGGTTGCAATACTTTTGTTTTGTGACACAGTGAAGTACAGGAGATACCTAAACTCCTCCTTCCTTGGCAGCACTACTTGCTCAATGAGTCTGTGAAATTCATTACGATCTGATTTATACAGGGAAGCAAGATGAACTCCAGCCATGTACTCCTGAAACAGTTTGTGAGGGAAGAAGACTGGCAATTGCACATGAGAAGTCCTCTCGTGTATGTCCATGCTAGTGGTAATTCTGTCCTCCTGAGACAAAATCCCAACCCGACAGGCAGTGTCCTTGGATTCTGGGCATATTTGGAAATCATCTTCACCGAAAATTAAGGTATTTTCTAGCAGACCATTGAGGGCCTGCTTAGCAATTGGTCCAAGGAGCTTATCAATTGTTTTCAAAAAGGAAAGTAAAGAGGGGCTGCCTACTTTCTTCACCATTTTCTGAGCATAATGTTCTTTTAGAAAGGCAATCATCTCTTTGAATATCTGAGAAAAAGATTTCAGTGATTTCATTTCCTTTAGTTTTTGCTTGTCAAGTTCTTTCCACATAAGACACAACAAGGCTACATATATAGGATAGTGGGCCATGTTTTCAGATATGACATCATTCTCACTGGTGAACTGGATAAGCTGATTTGCTCTATCATCATTCTTTGGAAAGTATTTGTGAATGTACACTGACAAATTCTCTCTGTTAAAACCCTCAACATAAATGAATGTGTACAGCTTCATTAGATCACTATCTGATCTAATCTCTACTGCTCTCCATGGGCGAGTGGTCACCAAGACTGGGCAAGAGGCAAGTTGATCAGAACAAAGAATATCTCCAAGTCCAATACCACCAGTCTCAGATGAGCTTCCACATGCCTCTGAAGAGGTGACACTTGGCTGTGATGGCTGAAGTTGCATTTGATCAGTAGGCTGTGATTCGCAAGATTTTGTCTTCATGATTTTGCCACTGACTTCGTCTAGCCCATCAAATGCGATGAATACCTTGTCAGGATTCGACCGGATATACTCAGTAATCTGAGAAACCGTTGCTGGATTGTTTTTGGCCAAATAAGACTTTGCAATCTCGCCAATAGTGTGTTGCTTAAATTCACGTAGAGGAACTATCAAGACCCATACAAAGTGACTGAAATGCTTCCCTTCAACCCAGTCCCAGGCAATCTTAGCACAAAATGTTGTTTTTCCAGCCCCTGCCTCTCCCTGAACCATGATCCGCTTGGGGAACTTTCCATTGACTTTGAGATCAAGGATATCATTGTAATCTAGCATTTGCTTGTCTGTCCCATGTTCTTCTAGTAAGACGAGATTAGTAAACATGTCGTCAAACTGCACAGTGGAAGCAGGATTGAGAGGATCAGCTCTGATCTTACAGAGAGTTGACCTATACTTGAACTTGAAATCATTTGCACACAGCTCAACCAGTTTAGGAGAAAGTGGTTTGGTCTGAGATTCAGCTGAAGGAGGTTTGGTCTGTGATTCGAGCAATCTTGATGGCCCTCCTAAGAATAAAAAAAAATCAATATTCATATGATTACACGTAAACATATTTTGATACTTTTATTCAAACATATTTGTGGCTTATACACCCAGTAAATAAGATCGATTGATCGATCTGTATAGAAAAATGAATATTAATGAGTCAGAATGAATCAGGAGAGCTTGGGTATTTGTTTCTAGTTCATCGTGACTGTGCCATGGACCAGTGATGGCCTGGTGGTAGAGTCGCTGCCCGGCAAGCAGTAGATGGCAGGTTCAAGTCCCGCTGGTTCCAAGATTTGTTCTGACTTGTTTTTCTATACAGATCGATCAATCGATCTTATTTACTGGGTGTATAAGCCACAAATATGTTTGAATAATTGAAATTTCTCCCAGGAAGCATTGCATTTATAAAATATTTTGATACATCGGAAAGGATTGTAAAGACCTGAGGCTAATAGTATGACATATAACTATTTGCATGTAGTCAAAGACACAAAGTCCTACATGTTTGTCTGAATTAATATGACTTCATTCAATTTTAAGGGCATTTAGAATCTGACTAATTTGTGTATACATGTAGATGAATATCACTGGAATTATTTTTGCTAGGACATTTCCGCAATCACACATCTTATTTTGAGAACAAAAAACAAACAAATATGATTGCATCTCCAGTATGCCTCTGCGTAAATTCAGTTAAAAGATCAGGGCTTGAATCAATCTTTGAATATTAAAATGAAAATAAAAAGCCTACCGGTATATATACATGTTGATTGATCTTTACAACCTATGACCTTTGACCTGACAATCCAACATCGGATCACTTGTCTCCCTATGGTGACGCATACCACATGTAGTTTTTTTTTAAATAAATTTTCCAGCTAAAATAGCTTTAAAGTAATTTTGCCGACTTTTGACCTTCTTAACCCAAAATATAAACAGTTTGTCTCAGTATGGTGATGCATACCAACACCAAATTTGAAATTCATGGCTCAAACCGTTCTTGAGTCATTTCAATAAAAATTAATTCAATTTGATCCTCATGGCCCTTGGCCTTTGAAACTTATCCCAAAATTTAATCACTCCATCTCACTTTGGTGATGCATGATAACACCAAGTTTGAAGTTCATACCTCAAGTGGTTCTTGAGATATCGCAATAGCAAAAAGTAGGACGGATGGACAGACAACCCCAGAACATATTTTATCCGGCACCACCTTCAGTGGGTGGATGTATAATTAGTTATCATAATGGGATGGTGCAAAAAATTTATAATTTGTTTGTAGAACATGTGCACATAAAGAAAGCTGGCATACATTGATTTCTGCTATCACTAAAAGTACTTGAACTATATTGGTGTCCAGAAAATATCTAGGATTAACAAAGTTAAATTAGGGAATTATAAAAACATGCATGGGGCTTGATAAAATTTGACACATCTGTATATTGTGGCAAATGTATAGAATACAGAGCACTCACTGAGATAATCTCTATGGTAAAAACTTATATGTCTTCTGCGGGGTGTTTCACAAAGATCCTAAGTCCAACTTAACTCTAAGTTAGCCATTTGTAGCCTTAAAATAAAATGTTTTCAAAAGCAAAAATGCAAATATTTTAGACTTTTCATAAATTCCACATCAAGAACATGAAATCTCCTTGATAATAGAAAATATGATTGATTTGAATAGACATTTTATGCCTTTTAAAAGAACTTTTACAAACTATTTTCATTGATGCTAACGGCTTTCCATAATTGTTAAGTCCAACTGATAGATAAGTTCAACTTAGGATCTTTGTGAAACACCCCGCAGGTGTAGCTAGAATTACCGGTAGTACCGGTATCTGTTTACCTGTGCTGTTTGGAATTACAGGTTCATTGAGTAATCTGTGCGATAAGCCACCCAAGTCATTCTCTCGGAGTGCGTCTGCCAAAAGCTGTCGTCTGTTTGAGTGTAGAGGTTGCTGCTTGACATTCCATTTCATGAATACTTGCAAGAATGCATTGGTATAGTTATTCAACTGCTGAATCAGGATTGCATGTAGCTCAGCTAAGGGGATCTCTAGAGATATCCCTACAGCCTGGTAGTAAGATGGAGCGATAGCCTTGGCCAGCTTCAGGAACTCCTTTTCACTGACAATACTGTAAAATGAATAATAAATCAATTGGGAACAATAGGATATTAGTTAGAGAGCATCCTATTGGCTGAGAAGCTATCACGTGACACTTAACAATTTGTATTATGTGCTCGAGAGTACAATATAACAGCTTGGGGATATCAGAAGGCATTGCCGGTGATATTAACATTTGAAACAAATTGCCTCAAGTTGCAGGGGAGGGCGGTATTGATCTGGCTAGGGCAATCATTCTCAAAAAATGCAGAGTCTGGCAGTAAATACAATAATGATGGTGATAGTAATAATATTAATATAAGGAGAGAAGGATTATTACAACTTTTAATAATAATAATAATAATAATAATAATGTTTACATTATAACTGATACTAGAATGGATGATGATGATAATGATAATTATTATAATTATCATTATCATCATCATTATCTGTATCAAGCAAAGTCTATGTAATCAGCTTACTTTTAATCATCCGGTCATCGCGTCGGGTTGGGTGGTGGAGTTAGCCGACCTTTGTGAAAAAATGCCTGTTTATTCACAAAATTTCGGAGACTAGAATGTCTGTGAAAAAAAACCCTCTCATCTACAAATAGTCTGGCATAATTTACACGACACTTTGTGAAAACCTGAAGGCAAATCTACGAAAGACTGTATCCTGAGTATGCATCTTTTCATGATCTTTTGTTTCACAAAATTTTGTGTAACACAATGACCCAACCAGACGCGACGACCCGATGAATCAAAGTAAGCCAGTATATGCATACCTTTCTGCAGTGTCAGGACCTGGATTGGTTTCAACATCACCAGATCTCATCAAGAGGATCAGGAGCAGATAGAGAAGGCAGAATCCATCCATGGTGTGAGATGTCCTTCTCATTCGTCAGAAGTTTAGTTCTCTGGAAAATGGTGATGACTTGGCAACAACACCTGAAAAAAAGTATTCAGAAATATCTACATTATGTACATAAAATAGATGAAAACAGATCCTTGAGAGTTTCACTTCAATGTATCTAATAACAGGCTTAAGGTTTAAGGCTTTGTTTTATGCTTTTGTTTGACTCTACATAATAGGCAATAAAGTCTGTTTAAAGTTTACAACTTCAACTGGTTAGTGCTTTATTCTAGTAATCTTCATTCTGGTTGTCAAGTCAGTACATAACACAAGAGGGCGCACTGCCACTCTAAACCATATATAACATCCTTCCTTCTTTAAGAAGTTAATACCTGTATATTAGTTTGTCGGCCTGAAATGCATGTATGAATACCCATGTCAGTACACATAAATCTAATTATAAATCCTCTGGAAATATCTGTGTTTATAGAAATAGTATCATAATAAATCAACTTCAGCATGGATGCATAATTACACTTGAGTGGTTTTGTTGTTCTTTTGAGACAATACATATGAGCTTAAATTCTGTTTTCTCTCGATTAGTCCTTTGGAACACTGGCTTAGATTATGTATCATCTTCATCAAATTTCAAATAGATCCAAAATCAAATACTTTTGTTTTGATTTGTCTAAACAACATCAACCACTCAATATAAACAACATACTAACTTTCTTTCTTGTTAATTAACAGGTGACTTTCCTGTATAAACAATTAACTTTCTCTTAATGAAACAAATATATAGTTGTCTGTCTACATCTATATAAAGTAGTTACACATAATAATAACAATATTTATAAAGCGCAACATATCCATCTCTAGAGATGCTCAAGGCGCATACAAATAATTTAAATTAATATTTAACATACTTAAGATTAAAGAAATATTAAATGTTAACTTGCATTAGATCATACAACTTCATGGTGCCAAGGTACATACAATGTGGCACAGTGCGATTGTTTGTTTTGCATGCATTGTATAAAAAGAACATTGAAATTTAACAATATGCATTGAGCATCAGGTGAGTTTTAAGCCCAGTTTTGAAAGTAGAGAGAGTGTTGGCCGTCTGAATAGAGAAAGGTAACTTATTCCACAAAGAAGGAGCTGCTGATGCAAATGCTCTATCCCCCCAATTTCTTTTGGTACGTATTTCTTTAAGTCTAATATTATGTGATGAACGTAAACCAGAACGACCTGCAGAGTGGGGTGATAGAAGGGATGAAATATATTCTGGAGCTAGATCATTTAGTGCACGATAGGTTAAGAGTAGAATTTTATATATCACACGCTGTTGAACAGGGAGCCAGTGCAGAGATTTCAAGATAGGAGTGATATGTGATGATATTCTGGTGTTAGTTACAAGGCGAGCAGCAGCATTCTGAACTTTTTGCAATCGGTTAATTTGGTTGGCAGGTAGTCGAAAGAGTAATGAATTGCAATTATCAAGGTGCGAAGTAACAAAAGCATGTACTAACTGTTGGGTGGATTGAGGTGAGAGATATTGCCTAATTGCACGGATATTACGTAGATTACAATTGGCCAGTTTAACACAATTTGAAATATGGGTTTCGAGTGACATGGCAGAATCAAATATTACACCAAGATTCCTAGCTTGATGTACAGGAGATACAGGGGCAGAACCAACTTGAACATGAGAAACCTTAATTTTACTGAGCTGTCTACTGTTGCCAAGCAAAATGAATTCTGTTTTTGCATCATTTAGTTTTAAGCGACTCTCAATCATCCAGTTCCTTACATCAGCTATACAGTTTTCAATTTTCTTCACATTTTCATCTATTTCTATCTGGACAGGTTTGCAAATAAAATAAAGCTGTAAGTCATCTGCATACATATGATAATTGATACTGTGTTTTTGAACAATATGCTGTATGGGCAGAGTATAAACATTGAACAATTGCGGACCGAGAACAGATCCTTGGGGAACTGAAAAATCTAAACTAACTGAAGCAGAGGTAGCATTACGGATACAAACTTCTTGTGATCTACTAGAAAGATATGACATAAACCACTTTAATACTATACCATTGAGACCTATTTCCTTTAATCTCTTTAGCAAAATGCAATGATCAACGGTATCAAAAGCACTGCTGAGATCAAGCAGTACTAAACCAGAGACATTTCCATTATCCATACCAATTAATACATCATTGTTTACCCGTAACAATGCACTTTCCACGCTATGCATCTCCCTGTATGCTGACTGGAAAGGATTTTGCAAACTCGTATTCTTTAAGTGAGACTGTAGTCTACCGGAAACAACTCTTTCTATTAGCTTGCCTAAGTATTTTAGATTAGCAATTGGTCTGTAGTTTTTCAAATCTTGTCTGTTAAGAGAGGGTTTTTTCAGAAGGGGTTTTATGAGGGCATGTTGTAAACAATGGGGAAAGAATCCACACTTTAGAGATTTATTAACTATCTGAGTGATATAAGGAACAAAGTCATTGACAAATTCTTTAATTAGACAAGTTGGTATCGGAACTAAATCACAAGAAGACACAGGGGAATTCATGATGATTTTTCTAATTTCAGTACATGTGGCGAGAGTGAATTCTGACATGCCAGTAGAAGGGACAGGAACAATTTCTAAAAGGGTGTCAGTATTTCTGTAAGAACTTAAATCAGTTAACTCTTCTCGAATACTTTTTATCTTATCTACAAAATAATCACAAAAACGATTAGCAAGATTATGATCATTATCAGTGTTGGGATATAATGGATCCTTCTTCCTGTCTAATAACTTATTAATAATGTTTATTTAATGATAAACAACAAAATCTTTCATGTGAGCTGGTGGATGGCGAGCTCTGGTACTACGGCGAGCTGGTCTTGGTGGTTCTTGAGTCTCTTCAGCGAGCTGGGGTTCGCGAATATCATTATTTGCTTCGCGACGAGGAGACTTCGCTACGTGATCTGGTGAATTTGTGTCGCTACGCTTCGCTTCGGATGTTGATGGCTCTGGTTGTTCGCGAGTTACGCTAGTAGGCGTGGAGAATATATCTGACTGGTCACTGAATGTGCTACTACATGTGCGCAAGTGCTTCCTGTTTCGTCGAACTATATTGCCATTCTCTGACCTGACTAGATATGATCTGGAATCAACTTGTTTCTCTACTCTCGCTTTGTGCCATCGCTTACTCTGTGCGTTAGACTGCGGCTGAACACGAACAATATCTCCGCGTTTCAATGGTGGTAGCTCTTTCGTGCTCTTATCGTAGTACTGCTTTTGCTTCTTCTGCTTTTCCGCTTTCTTTGCGACAACTCTATTTTGTGTGCGTGGAATCAGAAGCTTGGACGCGGTTGGTACAAGAGTGCGAGTGCGACGACCATACAGGCGTTGAGCTGGCGAGCTATCAAGTCCTGCTGTGGGTGTGTTACGCCAATTTAGAAGAGCTAGCTGAAAATCTTCTTGAGCTTCAGTTGTCTTACGTAAGAGACCCTTCGCAATCTTGACGGCACTCTCCGCTTTCCCATTGCTCTTGGGATAATATGGGGAACTCGTGATGTGCTCAATCTCATACTCCTGCATGAAGGTCGCGAAATCTTGAGAGTTAAATGGGGGACCATTGTCCGACATAATGGTTTCTGGGATACCGTGACATGCGAAAATGCTCTTTAGTCGCCTGACGACTGCTCTGGTATCTTTCTTGTGTGGCAGAGGAAGAACTTCGAAGTAGTCTGAGAAATAGTCCACAACACAAACATAGTTCTTGTTTTTCAACTCGAATAAGTCTATACCGAGTTTCTGCCACGGACGTTTCGGCAAGTCATGATTGATCAGAGGTTCACTTCTTTGCTTCGGAGCAAAGGTTGCACAGACTTCACAGTGTGAGAGATAGTCTGTAAGATCGCTTGTCATCCCTGGCCAAAATACACATTCTCTGGCCCTTGCGAGTGTGGCCTGTATTCCTGTGTGTGCGCTATGAAGTCGCTGTTTCACACGAGGTCTCACTTTGACAGGAATTACACAACGCTGTCCGCGGAAGATTATACCCTCATCATACGTTAGTTCATCACGGATGTCAAAGTATGGAGAAGTCCCAGGTGGCAGACGAGACTTGTCTTCGGGCCACCCCTCAAGGATCAGTCCCTTTACCGCTTGTAGGCTTTCATCCTGTTGCGTTTCAATCCTGATGAGCGCTAACGTCTTCTGCGACACCGCTATGTCCTCAAGCATGTGAATGCTTTCAACTTCTTT